TGGCCCGTACCCCGACCCGGTCCCCGCGCCGCGCCCCGCGCCGGGACTCACGGAGATCGAAGAGCAGCGAGGAACACGAGCCGCCTGCCGCGCTCCAGGGGCACAGGAATACGGCGCCCGTTTCCTCCTGATCCGGGCCCCTAGCCCTGGGGGCACCCACCACGACGGCCACACTGGTGACAGGGGAGGGGCCGAGTGAGCGAGCAGACCCCGCAGCCCGGGACCCTGTCCTCGCCCACGTCCGACTTAGGGACAGGAACGGGCCGGGCTCGAGGAGCCCACGTGCGCAGCGTGACCTGAGTGCGGCCGTCTTGTCCCGCTGCGAAGCGCTTCTGAGCTCTGCACCGCACCTCACCTCCCGGCCCCAAGGGAAGCTCGGCCTTCCGCGCCTCCCTGCTGGACGGTCACTGCGCCCGCCAGAGAGCTGACCCAAGGGAAGGGTGGGGCGGCCGCCTGGGACAGAGGACCTGAGCACATCTGCTTTGGCTTAAAGCTAGGACCACCGCAAGGAGCCCATGGAGTACACGTGTGAGGGGCATTAGCGCCCCTGGTGGAGAGGAGAGAGCCAGCAGGAGCACAGGGGAGGACGAGGGGAGCAGGCTGTGCGGGGGTGGCTGGACTCAGGGCTCTGGCAGCTCTTCACAGAGGAGTCCCCGCAAGTGGCTGTCCTTGAAAACCATTTGACATTCCCACTGCCCAGAACTGGGCATCCCAGGGTCCACACTAAGTCACAGGGTGACACGGCTACAAAGATGGGCCGGGACTCTAGCCATGGCAACCCTACTCCAAAGCCAGATCAGTGCCAGCCATTAGCAAGCCATCCCATTGTGTGCAGAAATCTGTGCCTTGGCTGGGGGCCAGGCCAGTGGGGCAGAGATGCCAGCTGGGGTGGCTACGCAGGACTTGCGCACCTCTCTCTGTTTGGGGGAGACAAAGATGTGTCAGACAAGTGAGCCTTGCGGAAAGTCATTGGCTTTCAGTCCTCTGTCCTTGCTGCAGTTCAGGGCCCATCTGCCTTGGCCCCCCTCCCAGACACCCCAACCTCAGCCTGTCCCTCCCCAGCACTCCTGACTGCTTGGCTGCCGACAGGGGTGAATGAAGAGGGGTCCTTTCTGCACCCACACTCCTCGGCTCACCCCATGTGGCTGTCTTTGTGGAAGTCCACCGAGAACCCAAAGTGGCTGCCGTTGGGGCCTGTGTAGACGGTGATCCGTGCTGCATCCAGGTTCAAGGCCCAGGCTGCCGGGGCAGCAACATGTCCCAGGAGCCAGAGCGCATGCAGGAGGCACAGTGCTCGGGCCATGGTCCTCCCTCTGCAGCCTCCTGGGGTATGGTGCCTCTGCCTCACTAAGTCCCCACCGCAGGAAGTCTCCTTATCACCTGAAACCAAAGGGAGAAGGGGAAGCCCTGGCTCATGTGGTCTCCAGGGCTGCAGGGAGGGCGAGCCCCCCACCCCGGCAGCTTATCACCAAGTCCTGTCACTCTGCCCTTTACCCCCAACCCACACCAGCCAGCCACCACCACCGTGGGCTTGGGTTGATGCCACCGTGAGCTAGCTGGCTTGCAGTGTCCTTTCTGGCCCATAGCTCCACAGCTGTGCCTTGGCTGGCTGCACTGCCCTGCCCCGCCCCACCGTGACCCTGCCAGAGGTGGAGGAAGCTGCTGGCTCAGATAAGCCCTGAGACTGCCATTTGTGCAGTAGGTTCTTATCCATTTCCTCCTTGCAGGGCTGCGGGCAGCCTCAGCCAGCCACATGGGGTGTGGGCTCCTCGCTCTTCCTCCATCCTGAGCCTCTCTGAGGGTGGCCAGGGTTAAGGAAGGGGCGAGAGCTGGGGACGGGGCAGTCACTCCAAGCATATGAGGTCCTGCCCAGCTGCAGGGAAGCCTGCCCTCCTGCTGACAGCTCCTTCCACCATCGGGACTTGGCTCTGGGTGGGGGCACTGTCCGGGGAGGCCTCCCCAGATCCCGGGGTGGCACCCGGCCTAACACACATGGGTACACCCCATTAGGGCACCTGTAACTCTCTTAGTCTGTGTAAACTGGACTCTCGAAAGTAGGCTCCTTCCTGTCCGAGATCTGAAAGCTGAATAATGTCTGCACTGAGGAAGGAAGATGCAAACAAGGTGACAAAGTGGCAAGAGGTGACGTCAGTGACGTCAGAGCAGAAAGTTAGGGTTGGTGCTTTTATTAGTATTGGGCCTTTGCTCTTAGCTACATCCCAGTCTTTTTTTTTTTAATGAGACAGGGTCTCATTAAGTCATTAGGCTGCCCAGGTTGGGCTCCAGCACATGGCCCTCCCATGCGGGGACCATGGAAGTGTGCCACCTCGAAGGGTTCAGATCATTCTCTCGGATGAGGAGTGAGAGGGAAACCTATATATTATTGCCAGGCATGGTGGCGCACGCCTGTAATCCCAGCACTCGGGAGCTCGGGAGGCTGAGGCAGGAGGATCGCTGTGAGTTCGAGACCAGCCTGGACTACATAGTGAGTTCCAGGTCAGTCTCAACTACATAGTGAGACCCTGTCTCAAAAAACCAGACCAAAAAAAAAGAAAAAAAAGAGTGCGAGGGAGCACGGTCCCTGGGCACCCTGGGCACTGCATGGCTTCCCGCAGAGGCTTGCTGGAGGAGAGGGCCTGCCACACCCTCCAGAGCTTCATTTCCTGGTCACCTAACTTCTCAGCCCTCCTGGGTCCTGGAGCCCCTCAGCACAGGTCACAGTACAGCATTCAGAACTCCTCGGAGACAGCTGGGCCTGCATCTCTGCTGTTTTTCCCAAGGCTCTTTGAGTTCCCAGAGTGCACACAGAACCTGCCCTCAGCCCACCACAGCCTCACAGGGCTGGGATAGCACTGCATTGGGTGCCATGTCCAGGGTTGCCACGACCACTCCAGTGGAGTCTGCGTGACAATGCCGGTCACCTGGCAGAAACCAGACCCAAGGTATCGTCCCCACGGGGTTAAGCCTCCTGGAGGTCCTTGGCACACACCGCATGCAAAGTCAGCCATGAAGAGAATAGCTGGCCTCTCTGCCTGCAGTTTGGGGACATTGGGTTCATCTATAATTCTGTTCTATTTTGTCTTTATTACTATTTGTTCATTATCTGTAGAATTGTATTCTGGGCCCAGGAAAGGTTAGGAACAATTAGATGTTCCTAGAGATGGGGAGGTATTGAGGCACAAGAGGACGGGCGGCCAAAGTGCTGACCCTGAGCCCCGGACTGTGAAGTCCTGAAGGTGAACCTGAAGGTGACATGCTAAAGCCAGTCCTTTGTCTTACAAACTTCCCCTTCTGACTGCGTATAGGTGTGGTCTTACCTTGACTTAATGGTCTTAGCTTTTGTGATGGTATATAGGTGTGGTCTTACCTTGACCTTGTGGTCTTAATTTTTACAGTACTATTGTCTATCTTATGCCTGCCTGTGACTGGAATCACTCTTGTGGTGTACCCTTGAAACTAGTATATAAACACCTGGAGTTAGAAATAAAATTGCAGCAGCGTTGGCAAACTTCACCTCGGTGTTGAGTGCTTTTGTCTGACTGTCATCGCCGAACCTGCTCCCACCTTTCAGAGAACCTGTATCTCCTCGTGAAATCCCGTGTATGCTGCCCAACGGTCGGTAGCACAGGGTGTCCCTGGTGGGCACTCAGCTGTGCAGGCCCTCAGGTCCGGGTGGAGCAGCAGAGCGGTGGCAGGCCTGCCCCAACGGGGCTACAAGGAGGCTCCTCAGAACAGCCTGGGGAGCCGGGTACTGCCGGGCCCACTTGGTTGTTTTTTCCAGTACTGGAGATCTGACTGAGGACCTTGTGCTTGCCAGGTAGGCACAGCACCTCTGAGCTAAATCCTGGGTCCTCTGGGCCCATTTTATAAACATGAGGACTAATGCAGGAGTTTTTGGTAAATTGCCCAAGTTTACACAGCCAAACGGAGAATGCAACACGGACTCCTGACAGGGGAGGGGCCTAGGCACAGGAATAACAAAGGGACAGCAAGAGTACACAGAGGCCCAGTGTAAGGACAGGCACGTAATGGGCTCAAGTCATTCAAGGTCCTTGAACACTGCACTGATTTGAACTTGAGTGCACAGGAGGTACAGTATCAAAGATCGGTTGTGTTTGGTGTTTTGAGACAGGGTCTTGCTGTGTAGTTCAGGCTGCCCCTGCAGCTCTGCTGGCCTCAGCCTCGAGTGCCGGGTGAGGATCTGGGGTCTGAGTGAGTCAGTGATCAGTGGCCTCCTAGTCTGGAAGGTTTCACTGGCCGCCTGTGGATGGAGGAACTGGCAAGGGAGGTCTCAGCGGAAAGGCGATGCGGCCTGCCTAGGCGCCTGTCACAGCAAAACAGTGGCGAGAGAAGCAGCAGCTGGATGTGGGAGGGGGAGGGAGGTGGTGGACGGCTCCACGCTGCAGGGCAGCGCTGGTCTGCAGGGCAGAGCTGTGCTCGCCCCCGTCTGAGAGTGGGTGGGATCAGTGTCCCACAGTTCTCACTGAGCTAGGTGCTGCGGACCAGAGAAACTGTTCCCCCTTGGCCAAAGCTTGAAGCATAGCCCTCTGTTAACAGGACTCTACTCTCCATCGTCCCTAAACACACAGCCAAAGTGTACACCACGGACTCAAGTTCACGTATGACCCTAAGGGTTGGGTTAGTGACAAGGGCCAGTGGAACCGCACTTGGGAGCCAGAGAGCTACGACAAGCCAAGGCCTGGGAGGACGGTCACGTGAGGTGTGGCATGTACGAGTGATGCACACAGCATGCTGTGGGCACAGCGGGTCCCTCCTACCTTCACCCACGCACCCCTTCCCTGACAGCTGAGACTGGAGCAGCCAGCCGGGGCTTAGCATGGACCTTGCTCTCCAGGGGGAGGCAGACCTCACGCAACCCTCTTGGTGGCTTCTCATGCTAAGCTCCCTGCTGTGATCTTCTGGCCTGGAAGAGGGGCTGTCCTCAGGGTCTGCGTACACGAGGTGAAGTCCCCCAGCCCCCGTGGCATCTCAGGGTCCGGGACAGAGGACTCTCCAGGCCTGGAGGGCAAAGGTGACGAATGCATGCACTTGAAACCCGAAACACAGTGGGAAGTGGGAAGCCATGCAGTGTAATCTACTAGATCACAGACCAAGCACGGCAGGCAGGGAAGGGAGAGCACAGGAGGTGCCCTTCCCAGGTCTTCGCATCGGGACTGCCAGCCTGAGCAGCATCCCTGCATCTCCTTGGCAGGCTGAACTCTCAGAAGCAGAATCCAGACATCTCCTATCACTTCCCAAGAACCCTGTTACTTTTCCAACAAGATGTGACTTGTTAGGTCAGGTGCAGGGGTGCCTGTCCTCCCAGCACCCAGGGAGGCTGAGGCAGGAGGATCACCAAGTTCAAGTCTCTCATGGAGAGACCCTGTGTGAAGGGCTGGGAAGCAGCTCCGGGGCAGAGCAGCCCAGTCATTTGTCACCCACAGCTCCACCCTCCCAACTGGAGCTGATGGCGGCAATCACAACACACTCAGCTGTGGGGTTTCCACAGGCCATGGTTCATTACAGAGCTCCCTTCCCTTGTCCTACAGCAGCTCTACCACGGGGCAAAGTTAAATGCAATGTTATGCTTTTAAGGAAGGGCAGGTGATTTTGTTTTTTCTCTTTAGATTAATAAAACTGCTCCTAGGAAGGCAGCGGGGTGGTCAGTGTGCACAGCTCATCACTGAGCTAACGGGAGCAGCACAAGAGTCGGCACCGTTACCGAGACGTTCACAGGCCGGCGCGGTGGAGCCGGACTCTCGTCCAGTTCTAGCTGTGCGGAGCGGCCCTCCTGGGCAGGTAGAGCTTACTCAACACAGGCTCCCTTCTGGGATCTGAGAAGGATGGCAGGACACAGCCCCGGTCCCAGTTCTAGCCTTGGTCAGTGTCCTGGAGAGAAGGAACAGCAGCCTGCACTGCTGAAACCGGGTGGGCAGCGGAGCCCCACAGTCCGCAGGCCCCGGCTACTCCAGGCTTGCGCCAGCCCAGAGGCACAGAGGCAACCAGCAGAGGGCTAAGACTGGGAAGGCCAGGCCTGCCCACGACCCAGGACCCGGCTTCCAGAGGACAAGGCTGCGAGGTCCCCTCCTTCACTGTGGGAAGCAGCAGCAACAGCAGCAGCCAAGCAGCAAGGCCCACCTGCCTGCTGCCCTGCAGGGTGGGAGACGGCACGGCCACATCCCCGACCAGCCCGCAGCCGGCCACTGCTTCCATGGTTCCTAATTTCAAAAAATACAGAACTGGATAAAACACACAGGCTTAAGTCATTTTTGTTATCTAGCAGAAAACAAATACTTTATTTTTTTGCTTCCATTTCATAACCCTTAAAGTCTTAACTCAACTAGGGCGAACATATTTACACAAAGCCACCAGAACAAGGGTCACTTAAAGAGCTAGATGTAAAAAATATTATTGCAGTATACTACAAATAGGGAACCTTTTTATATGAGCTACAAAAAGCAGCATTTACGTTTATAGTTCAGTGCAATTTTTACATTAAAAAATTCTATAAATTAAGAAGGGAACATCAACACAACAGAAGATCTACCCATCAGACCGGCACACACCCTGGGCAGCACCCGGGCAGCAGTCACAGCCCGGCCACGAGGGGACCCTCTCCCCGGGCCACGTGGAAGCCTCCTCTGGTCCAGAGAGAGGGTCACACCTGGTTCCGGTCCCATTTCCTTTCCACCTCACCTGGGCAGCGCCTCACTGAGGCCGGGACCTTCTGTGTGCCGGAGACAAGGAAAGTGTCTTGGGGCTGCTAGAGGAGGAGCAGGATAAAAAGTAGAGGCAAGAGGAACCACACACATGGAGGTGAGGACCTGGAGGCGTGGG